ATGTGAAACGGGTTCTGCGGTGCGCGTTTGCCAACTGAGTGGGTTCGGTGTGCGACCCCGTGGTGTTGACGGCTCTGCGCCCAGACGCCCAGACGCCCAGATGCCGAGGAATAAATACATGATACCGAGTACGGGGGCAGTTATTTGCCCAGGCTGCAGAGTAGATGCGCGCGCTGACTGTGTGTAGTGGATGGGGTCGTGTATCCTCGTCAAGGGCTCAGTATTACGGTCCAGCCGGCGGGATATATTTGCCCATCAACAAGTTGACACCAATGTATTAGAGTATAACTTACTACTTACATAGGGCGGGATGGCCAGGTGCCCTCATCTGGTCGAGCACATTTTGCCTCCCATTGTGCATCTTTCTTCAAAGTCCATAGTCGTGCTTCACAAACAAAAACAAGCAAATGCGCAATGGATTCATCTCTTTGCATTCACAACCGGGCACCACATCTCAGCTTGAACTAATTACGTACACCTTTCTAATGTCTATTTCCGTCAATTTGTCATTGCCATTCCGCCATGCCTGCCTACTCTGAATGTAGAAGCGGGAGGGGTGCCGGCTGAGGTGGGTAGATCAAGCCCTTGCTTTTCACCTTGTCATCGTCTTTGACGACGTATATGCCGTCATGTTTCGTTTTTGCTTCCACCGACGGCTTTTTTCGTTCCCGAACAGCAGTAGCAGGAATGTCTCCTTCATCCAAACTCATGTCGAGTATCATGCTTAACTCGGGGCAGTATTCAAGAATCTGTTTCATGTTCCTGTTCGTCCGTGCCCCACGGTCAGGCCATGTATTCCATGCTGTAACGTGGTATCCCATCAGTTCACGAGGGAAGACATGATCTGCCGATATGATGCCATGGAAATTGGACGCGACCTTTTCTCCCGGCAGAGCTGCAATGCGTTTTCTGAACCATACGTCCTCTGGTTCAGAGTTGTTCCGGCGCCGCTGGAAGCTGAGGATACGGCGAACCGCTGAAGCTCGGCGTAATGATAGGCCACCCGTGTCCGAGAGCCTGTCACCATGGGCTTTCCTGCTTACCATCGTCAGAGTACGCCTCGCTTATATATTCCCACCATGAAAGAAAAAAGGGGGGAGGCATAAACAGCATACCGTAAGGCACCGGCCCAGCTCCAAGAAAGCCATTCGTCCAAGCTGACAGCTGAATTTGCACACAATATACCATCATGACCAAACTTGAGTATCCACTCCACATCTGGAAGAACTTCCTCGTAAAGCCGCGCATCAGTTAGTAACCTCGACTCATCCTCGGGACTCTCCAGCTTCCACGGTTCCGGCACCTTCATCAACTCGAGTTTCCCAGAGTTCTTATGGAACTGAATGGCCTTGGATTTTCCCACGCTGTATACGCTCTTTGATGAACCGATGAAGAGAAATCGCCAGTCGGGAGGTACAACCGCCATCGTGTGCAGAATCAGCGGTGCAAGACGCGGCAGCGGTCTTGATTCCACCATGAGAGCCAGTTTCGAGGCATTGAACGGACCGACTACCTCCCTTGGGACATCTGAGATCTTGGTCCATGCGTCTTGGACATGGAGCGGGAAGCCGGGCGGTATGCTGTGCTGTCCCAAAGGCACGATTACCCACCAGCTGGCTTCTTGTTAGCGATGTCTAGTTCATGCAGAGGGGTGCATACACGTACATGGAAATGAGGAATATGCCGAAGAGGAGGCCTAGTTGCTTGGTAATTGTCGCTGTGTAACGCGGTAGCTTGAAGACTTTCATCATGATGACTGCGCTGCGGCGTTGTACGAGACGCAGAATCTTGGGGCGGCTGAGTTTCGTTCGGAAAACCTCTCTTCGAGGTTATCATGGCTTCCGTAAGACTGCGACAGCTGTCAGGCACTTGGCGAAGGCTGAGTTTGTTGGCAGGCATGATCCCTCTCTTCTGGTCTTCTGGGCAGGAGCGAGCAAGGACAACATTGAGCCCAGGGCTCAGCTGGCTTCCAAGGCGCCGTCTTCAGTCTGTAGCCGTTACTGCCAGCCTTGGTTCTGCAAGTTTCACTTGTCATTTTAAGTAGCAAATGGATTGTTACAATGCTCTGCTGCTGGACCCTCACGGCTGGGACGGCATGTGCAATTACTCTGCTTGTTCAACATCAAGGAAGCAACGCGGTATCCGCCCATGACAGCATCACGATGGGAGCCATCTAAACTTGAATGGCAGAAGGACACATGAACATTCAAACAACGTTGATTGAATAACAACACGATTATACATGCACCAATATACCTACTGTACACACCCATTCTTCGTAGCTCATCGTTAGCCTTCCCTCCCCATCTCATTCGTCCCTTTAACACGCCATCTTCCGCAAACCCCCGAAATACATACAAAACAGTGCCCAGACTTCACATGTACACTAAAGAGTCATTATGACAACTACCCAGTACTATAGGACATGGGACTATTACCAATGCAGCATCTAGCCGGCCACAACCCGCCCAACAACACCAGCCAACTCCCCGAACAAAATCCCTTTGAACACATTATCACCCATGTTTTGCGTCCAGGCACCCGCATCACGAAGCCTCTCCTTCCACGCGTCTTGTTCATCCACGTGGAGCTGATCCCATGCTCTCGCCGAGCCGTGGGCATCAGAGTCGCGTACGTTGACTCGGAGCCTCTTGGTTGCCTGCTCACCATCGCCCTCAACAACGACCGGTTGGTCATCTTCGAGTAGGACAAACTTCTCTCCAGATCCCAAGACCATGTTACCATCGACCAAGCTTGAAATGAGCTCATTCTCAAACGAATACGAGGGTTGCGTTTTGGGCTGCCGAAGGCTTCCGTGCCACGAGGGTAAAAATGGTTGTGCAAAGATGACGGGTTTGCCTACGCCGTACAATTCCTTTACGGACTGGGCAACGATCGCGAGAATAAGCACAATGACACTGAGGGTCATGACAAGCGGCCGGGCGGATGGGGCGCGGGACTGCATGGCAACAACGTAGCGCGTTGGTCGAGGAGGACCTTTCCTGTTCCGAGGGGCTTGCACGTCAACGAATTTCTTGAGTGGGATGCTTTGGATGGCGACAGTTTTCCCAAGCGACGTGCTTGCCAGCTTAACGCATTGTGCTCGGATATGTGTCTTGGGCGTGATGAAAGTTGAGAATGCGAGACCTGAGATATTGTCGTTGCCGTGGACGTTCTTGAGTGTGTAGAAAGGATAGAGGTTGAGAAGCAGGTTCAAGGCCGGTGAGACTTGATGTTCCAGTGTGTATAGCGAGATCGACGAATCGTTGCCAGCAACAGCCACCGCAAACTGTGCGTTGCCTACCGGAGCCGTGGGCGACGCCGGCAACGACAAGTTAGTCACAGCTAACGCTATGGCCGACATTTTGCGCGATATCCTCGCCGTGGCAGCCAGTCTAGCCTTCTCGTGGCCCGGTGAAGGCAACCGCAGTCCCTGAATAAGCGCACCGGTATTCTTCTTGGGCAAATTGGAAACGGCAAGAACAAATTCTGGGGTCAAATACCGAATGGATCTGAATTGCGGTCGCTCCCCATGGTCGTCCGGCATTGAAAACACCATCTGGGGCTCGCTATTCCCCTTGCTTCCGATATTAACAATATAAAGCTCGTAACGGTCAACGTAGGCCAGCTGGAACTCATCATCTCCTGTCTGAATAATATCTATGGCCTCGGCTTCCTTTGTTAGCTCTAGCAATCCGCGTATTTTCGGTTTCGGCGTAGTCGTCTCAAACACGGCTATTTGAGGTTCTTTGCCCAGAGCAGATGCTGCGGCGCCAATGGGTCCCGAAACACGCAGCAAGCGCTGATATGCGTTGGCGTCCGGGTTCGCAAAGAGCGCTGTACGGGACGCTTCGGCGATTTTGGCCTCGGGGAAGGCTCTGGGCTTCGAGGGGCTGCCTGTCATGGCAGCCAGCGGCCTTGCTTTGGAGGGATCGACAGAAAAGAGGCGCAAGTGCTGATTCGTGCCTTTGGCAATTTCTTCCGGAGAGGAGTTGATGCCTGCGTAGACGTATGTAGTTTTGCCCTTGTGTGGGCCGACGGCGATGGACATGACGCTGTCTTCGTCGCGAGATAGCTCGATTTCGCCGGCTGCTCGGATCTCATCTTGGTGAGAGACATCGAAGACGGTCTAAGACGAAAGACAGACAGTGTTAGCCAAGTCTTTGTTGCAACGTTTGCCCGTGGCTCGAACTGCGCCCCTAGTCTACAGCGATTTGGGGGACGGAAATCTCTCGTAGTTCGCATCTAAAAACCACATACAATCTTGTTGCCGACACCGGAACACCCAGCACCACCTCCACCACCAACAACTAATCTATTCGCATCCTCAGGATCAAAGTCGATTGAGTAGATAGGGTAATCAACCTCGGTGCGGGCACCGGGAAACGAGGGAGCCATGACTGGCAATAGGCCCAGACTCGCGGATTAACCGGCCTCGAAGCTGCGGATGGTAGGGATGGGAAGACAATTGTTTGTCAAAGTGTGGTTATTATTCGCTCTATAGGATGGCGGAAACCATGAATGCGACAGGATAGCTGTCAGTCGATTAGGATTCGGAGCTGAAGTAGGGGCCGCTCAAGGCCAGATGTTCGGATCAGTTTCCTTCGAGATGTGACGAGCTGGCTGTAATAGGTTAACGTAATACGTACATGATGGACGCCCGGGCGCCACGACGTTTTGGTCCGACCCGCTTTTATCGAAGCTTGCATACTACTTGTCACAATTGGCAGCTATGGATCGTATTAAATGTGGACCTGGCCCTTGATTGGGTCCATGATCTATTTATCGACGGAATTGAGGCATCGAAAAGACCACCTTTTTACTGAACAGAACATGGAAAGATCGTAGCTAGTGGGTTTGCTAGCTGGCCTCTAATTTCAGCCTTATATCCTTCAGTAGTTTGAACCTTTCATTCGACTCATTTGATGATGTGTTCTGACGAGACACTCGTTGACATCAAACTTTTATTCCAATGTCGTCGATTGATGAGGGTTCAACCTTCAACTCTCCGTCAAGTTTACATGCACCGCCTTCACACTGTAATACCCCCTCAATCCATCCTCGCCCAGCTCTCTTCCTATCCCACTCTCTTTAACGCCGCCAAAAGGAACCCTCACGTCGGAATCATTACTGCTATTTACCCAGACCATGCCAGCTTCTAATTCCCTCGCCACACGATGTGAACGAGCCATGTCCCGCGTGAACACAGCCCCAGCAAGCCCGTACCGTGTCGAGTTAGCAATATCGAGTGCCTCCTTCTCAGTCTTGAATCGGGCTACCGCGGCACAGGGACCAAAGATTTCTTCCTTGAAGACAGTCGCGGCAGTGTTGACATCGGTAAAAATAGTGGGCGGGACAAAAAACCCCGTTCTAGGAAGTTCCGGAATAGCTCCGCATGGATGTATAATGTTTGCATTCTCGGTCTGAGCAGTTCTGATATAAGACAAAATGCGATCTCGCTGCGTGGCGCTGACTTGTGGTCCCTGGTAGGTTGTAGCCTCGAAGGGATCACCTAAAATGGATGTTTTGCTCGTATACTCGGTGAATTCTTCGATAAACCTGTCGTATATTCCGTCCTGCACCAATAACCTAGAGGTTGCCGTGCAAACCTGTCCCTGATTTGCCATGATGCCCTCATGGGCCCAACGCACCGCTTGCCCCAGATTGGCATCATCAAACACGATCAGCGGTGACTTGCCGCCAGTCTCCAGCGTAACAGCCTTCATGGTTGTAGATGCCATACGCATCACGTCTTTACCCGTGGCAGTGCTGCCGGTGAATGCAATCTTATCCACGTCTCTGTGTAATGCTAGCGCCGCACCTGCTAGCCCGCCATGGCCGTTGATAATATTAATCACACCGGGAGGAAATCCTGCCTCACGGATCAATTTGCCGACATAGAGCATGGACAGGGGCGTCTGTTCAGCAAGCTTCAGCACGACCGTGTTTCCACAACACAGGGCAGGACCAAGCTTCCAAGCTGCCATGGCCAGCGGATAGTTCCAGGGAATGATCTGGCCGCACACCCCAATAGGTTGCTTTAAAGTGTATGCCATCTTGTCATGGCCAACATCAATGACGCTGCCGTGAATCTTGTCCGCGTACCCAGCATAGTAGCGCAGGACCTCGGAGAAGTGTGGGACATCAAAGCCCAGGGAAACGGAATAAGGCTTTCCATTATCGAGGGTCTCGATAACCGCAAGAGTTTCGCGGTGCTGATCAACCAAATCTGCCAACTTGTTCATTAGGTGGCCGCGCTCTGTGCCCGACAACGACTTCCAGGATGGTTTCTTCAAGGCGAGACGAGACGCCTCGACGGCTGCGTCGACATCCTGAGGAGTTGCAGCTACCACTTGGCAAATCTCCGTCTCTGTACTGTGGGAGCTGTGAGCGGGGGTGTCATGTGAAGAGGCAAACGTAAATCGACGTACTATGGATTGAACGTAGTGATCCGTCTCCCCTTTGCCGAGTTCCTAAACTCATTGCCGATAAATAGACCCAGCGGCTGCGACCATGATTTGCCATTCGGCGCAGTTAGGTCTGCTTCAATATCCGAAGCCCGCGTCGTGTAGGCCTGCCGACGAACTTGCCGTAGGCCGTGTCGCACCTGTACAGAGAACCTGGGCAGACCTGATAAATTGGCTGTCCCGATAGGCCTGGTGAGCATCTGTCTTGTACACATACCACACCGGCAGTGGCATATGAAGCGCGGTCGATGTCGATCTGGCGGCGGCAGCAAGCTCGGCATGCCATAACAATTACATTGTTCCGTTCATGTCCTGTGGTTGCAACTCCGCACGCAGTCGCGCCGTACAGGAAGGAGGTGGGCCGGGGCCCGGGGCGCACTTGCTGTAGGATGCACGTGGTTGACGGCCTAAGGGTTACACTGGAAATGTGGGCGTGCTTCGTTCATGGTTTCAAGTGTCAGCTGGTGATGAATATACACACATGTCCCCGAACACGGGACACGGGGTCCATCAAATACAAGCCAAAGGTGTAAACGTGAGGTCCATTCTGTTTTCCTGCTAGCTAATCGACTATACCCATAATCATACTACTTCAAGTTCAACAAGAGTCAAAGTCTGCTCTGCTCTACGTCGGCATACACATACAATTCTTTCAGCTAGATAAATAAATAAAAAACGCCTCCAAACACCGCAGCTCTGCAGCTTAGCTTCTCAACCTTCTGTTACCAGAATCCGGGTTCCTAATGTTCTGTAATTGCTTGGGTATCTCTTGTACATGCGCGCTTTTCCCATCAGTCGCTTCAACGACGGGTATTTCGTAGGAATGTGAACACCAAAACAAAAAAATAAAGAAATAAAGAGAAGAAACAGGAAGGAAAGGGAGTGAATAAATGAATTAAACACGACAAAATATGGAAATAAAAGGAGTATCGATGCTTTCATGAACGTTTTTGGCTGTTCCGACTTTCTCCAACTCGCAACCCCACTGCCCATTGCTTCGTATTGCTCAATTGGGTGCGTGATGCTGGCCTTGCTACACAACTGTGGAAGCTATTACTGTCGTCTGGTTAGCACTATAGAGTCGAGCCATCCAGTAGGTTTGCAGGTAGAAGTCCAACAAGCGCAGGCCTGAGACATCCCCGTACTCCTTCCGGCGCGCTGATTCGTCTCTTGTGACTTTCTCCAGGATGTCTGCAAAGGTCCACAAACAGACACCAAATCAAAACAAAGATAGATAGAAACCCATTCAACTGAACGCAGACTCCGATCACCAAAATACAAAAGTGCCAGTTGCCCAGCTAAACGTGTACCGTCATTGTCCGTGAGAAAAGTCGTGGGGACCTAAAAGGGGGGAAAATGCATATATTCCAGGGTGCTGTGCATTTTCGCCCAGGAGGAGTTGGCTTTGGGCCGCTCGTAGTCGTGTCGTCTTAACACCGTCTTCCTTCATATTCAGCTCTCGTAGCCATAGTTCCAATGAGCTTGGGATGCAGTACAGCGCACCCTGATTCACCAAGGGTGAGTTTGACTATCACCCAACTTTCTGGACACAGTTGCCCAACCTGTTTCAACCTGCCGTGGAGGCACCGGGCGCCATTGACCTGTTCTAGGGTCTTGTTCGTGTGCTTGTCCAGAACCGATATGCTGAACCGTTGGAGATGGCCCTTCCATGGCTCTCAACGGCGGTAGTCTATCTCCACTTCCTGACGATGCAGCCGACGCAGGACGAGGCGGGATATTGTATAGATGACCATGAGGCGGTGCCAACCCGACCGGAGTCGTGCCAGGCCCAGGCCCGGCAAATTCTGCCCGCTCTTCCATTTTTGGTCGCTGCGCTGCTCGATCTATAGAAGCAGGATCGCTGGAATAACCCTGTGTTGGTGTTGGTATGAGGTGCTGCGATACAGGGCTGTGATCTGTATGTGAGCCGATACTTCTGGTGGGAGTTGGGCTTCGGGGTCCGGCTGCATGCTGATGAATGCCGGGCGTTCGAGATACAATATCTCGAAGTCGATTTCTCTCCTCCCGGTAAAAGTCACGTTGACGTCTCAAGTAATCAATCTCTTCGGACATTTGTTGTCGCTCATCCTTCAGTTCCTGTAATTGCCTCACATTTTCTTCTTGCATTGTCTTTTTCTTCCGGCGGTGTCTAGTTGACGCTTTCGCGTTACGCTGTCGTTTCTCGTCCGCTTTCCTCGAGGCTTGTGAGTAATCTACTTGAACAGGTATCGGGATGTCGCTGCCCGGCAGTGTCATGTAGGCTTGCTGTCCCTCCATGCTCCCCGACCCGGCAGACCGGCGCATCACCTCAGTCCAAGGAGAAGCCTCAGGCGGCTGGCTCACACTGGACAGCTGCCCTTGACATTGACCAAGCTGGAATTGAGTATGAGAAGGTGGTGCTTGAATATCCTGGGGTGGCCCCGGTTGCCCTTGAACGTGAGATACTTCAGTAACTCTATTCATAGGCTGCGAGAGGGACCGAGTTGGTGGAGTAGGGACCTGTGGCACTGTTTGGGCAATTCTGGGAGTCTGATGGAAGCTAGGAAGCTGCCTAGGCTCCTCTGCCGAGTCGGCTTCATATGGGCGTTTGGCTGGCGATACTGATGGAACGTATCCGTGTTGTCTGCGATCAAATTCGCGGGGCGGACCACTACTCTGGCTCAGACTTGAAGCTCGTGGTACTTTCGGACTGAGAGCTTTCCTAGGTTCATTCACATTGGAGAATGGATAGCCCACAGTTGGTGATTGCCGTTCAGGTCCTGACACCAAATTGGCGTTCCCGACAGGAATTCCTGGATATGATGCAGATGCTGAATGGCCGAAACCCGGCTGTCGCGGAAACCCATGCGTCCAAGATTGATACGCGCTTGCAGACTGCTGTCCAACTGGCGATGAAGAATCATGGGCTATGTGTGAGTCCTTTGGTCGTGGATCTGATGGATTCAATATGTTCAGCATGCCTAAAGACTTGGGCGGTATTTGTTGATTTCGACCGGAGTTTTCTTTAGGTAGCAGCTTTATGGCATCATTGGCTGCGTCATGGTTACCAACAGATGATCCAAAAGGGCAGGCTCCTACTTCTACCGGTGTAGTTGGAGATGTGGAAGTTCGACGAGATGCAGGTCGAGTCGAAGTGTCTCTCTGGGACATCGAGACCTGAATCCCTAACTGTCCTTGGTCCCGAAGACCGGCACATTGATTTTCTCTCCTATCCGTCGCTGCTTTTTGGGTAAAATCTTGGAGCTTTGGTGGCACTGGCAAAATCTTATTTCTCCAAGAGGGAGTAGACGGTGTGCGAGGAGAATTTGGAGTGGTCCCAAATGTTGAATCGCTAGTCGCAGAACCGGGACTGTCTTGGGCTATCGGTGCCTGTAGAGGCAAAGCAGTTGATAATTGCGCCAGATTGGTCGAATTAGATTAGGACCGGCTGGGAGTCCTCACCCAAACAGTCCCAATACCAGCAACTCAAGTTTCCGAACAACTCCCAGCCCACAACGACCAGCGCACCGCCGAGACTCCTGCCGCGCAGACTCAAATAAGTGATCGTGGTGACAAGTGAGTAGGGGGACCGCTTCTCAGAGCTAGACGCAACTGGTATTGATGCAAGCGATATTATTAGATACTCGATCAAAATGACAGGAAGCAGCAAAACACCTTCGTTTTGCTCAGTATGCTAAATTGAAGTGTGAGAATTCGCCTCGAAGAACCGACAGCTATCCTCTCCTCTTCGAGATCAAAGCTTAATCCGGGTCCCGTTCGACACACTGTCTGCCTCCCACAGACGTTATATTTGCGCTTCCAGCACTCTTGCCGCGTTCTCTGCGGAGATCCGTGGCAGGCCTTGATGCTTTCGGGACACCTGACACTTAGTAGACAAGACAGCAGAGCCAAAGTGACTTGTAACTCCGAGCGAATGATAGGATAACGGCAGTGGGTTTTTTTCGGTATAAGCTGGGAGCAAAACAATGCCAACACTCTGCAGAAGAGAGACCCTGGCCGGTATAGAGAGGTAAATCGTTGATGATGTGAAATGGTAGAAGTATTAAACACCAACCTCTATTTAGAAGACGGCCCCTGATCGCCGTGATTGGTGAGCAAAGCCGACTTGACCCAAGTGCCGATGCAATTTGACCATAAAGGCAAGTTGAGATGTGGACAAAATCAGCCACGGCGCAGAAGAATGTGTACAAGTGCAAATGGTTGGAGCTGATCGAATCACAACACGATGAAACGTCCGCCACACCTGATGTCGTTTTCAAGCCCAGCTCGAGCTGTCTCACGGAAGACGAGTGAAAATGGTTAGGTGCGTGTAAGGGGAAGGGGAACAAAAGAATTTCCAAGAGAGAAGAAACCTGGTACGATAGAAGAAGCTGTCGATGTGTTGGCCGTCACAGGGCCAACACCCCAGGGTCCGTCATAGTAGTATGTCAACTACCAACTACATACTAGCATGAACGGAGTACATCTACTTCTTGGACAGCACCCCATCTTTGTCCCAATTACAACGTTCACTTTGTCTTGCCACCCCAGCATACACATTGTCGAGCGAACAGGGGGTATGTACAATTCTTGCAGGCTCCGGGTGCTATGGCCACCCCGGCAGCAACAGGGCTCGGATAGTTGGGTGGCTATTGTGGTCAAGGCCAACCTGGGTGCCAAATTTCCTTTTCGCCCTTGTCGCAAGACACTTGCAAGAAGAATGGCCCTAGTGGCTCCATGGGCCAGAGTCAATGTCAAACATTTCGCTGACCATTGAACTAGTTGCTGCTCGTCATTTGTAGGCTATTGTCTGGCAAAAGCATTATTCCCCATCATCCCCGTTGGCGTGGAAGGCTTGTGTGTTTATGAAGTGTACTGTATGCCGCATGTACCTGAATGGAAGTCTGTTCTCAGTATTTCTCATGAGAGCCTGAAGGGGTGGCCAATACGGGTCAATGACGGGCAGTATGGAGTACTATATCAATGACATGCCTCTTGCTTGACCCAGTTGCCGGGGATAGCTCCAAAAAGGCAGCGATAGGGCCTATTGTAAAGTAGGTGGCGCAGGCGGGAGTTCCTTCCGAGCTGATAATGGGCATTGGGAACATGGTGATGTTGCGTTATTCGTCCCGGCTAAGACTCCATAGTTGATGAGAGCGGTCAGCGGGGTTGGGTCCCTGGACCAGAGAAGTGACGAATGGTTGAGGCACCAGACAGTACA